CGTCTCTGTATAGCAGTCCACAGGCCACACTGTTCTCAGTATTTTATCTGGTGGCCCTCCCAGGTGACTTCTTTCACGTCCCGATGGCTCTTTCTCCACTCACTTCCAGACCTCCTATGGCTCACAGGGACCCCTTTCTCACCACTTCGGCACCCTGGGAAAGCCCGAGGGTTGGACTGGCAGTAGTCCTTAGTGCTCGAGGCTCCAGGTTAGCTGTGCTACCATTTATACTCCTACTTTACACCCGTGTCCCAGGTTTTTCCAGTAAGACAGTGGGAAAACTGGATACAATTTCTTTATCCTGGGCCCTCTTGACATAAAGGGGACATCTATGTCCCACTTCTACCCCCCGATTCTTTCTGGAGTTTGATGCGGTGCACATCCATTATGGGCTGAAGTGTGTCCCTCAAATTTGTACGCTGACGCCTCTAACCCCAGCACTTCAGAATGTGACTGTATTTGGAGACAGAGCCTTTAAAGACATGATTATATTAAAATGAGTCTGACTGGTACCCTTCGAAGAAGTGGGAATGAAGATACACAGAGGAAAGGCCACCTGGGGACAGAGAGAAGGGCGGTCATCTTCAGGCCGAGAGGAGCGGTCTCAGGAGGAGCCCACCCTCCAGCACCTTTATCTTGGACGTCCAGCCCCCAGAGCTGCGAGGAATATATTTCTGTTGTTTCTGCCACCCAGTCTGTGGTATTTTGTCACGACAGTCCTAGCAAACAAATACAACATCCTTCCCCACATTGCAACTTGCTCACATCATTCTAAGAGTTTTCTCTTACTTATAGTTCATTTACACTCCTCCTGGGTGTGCGTGGTGGGAGGGGAACCCATTCCCTAGGCTCACATATGCTCTCTACCAATTTTTTTGGCTTCATCCTACTTGGCATTTTGAATCTTTTGTTTGAGAATCTGTAGACTTTGTTTCGCTTGTTCGAATGGGGGCGACCGGAGGAAGACAAAAGAAACATGATGTTTGCAGTTCCAGATCGCAAGTAAATGTGTCATAGGTTATCCCACCACAGATGGGTGTGCATCTGCTTGTATTTCCCTGCCCCTGCCCCCCCGCCCCCCACCTTGGGGAGAGTCCATAGTTCTCTTCAAATTCTCAGAGTGGTTGATGGCTGCAAAAATGTTAGGGTTCACCACCCTATTATTTTCGAAACACGATTCATTTTCAAATATGTAATTTATATGCATTTTAGAAATGTGACTAGTATGTAAATGAAAACAGTATGTTTATCTTCAATAAATGTAAATGGTATCACACCCATTTCCTTCATTTAAAAAAATCTCTCATTTAGTTTGCCATGAAAAAAGTAGCTAAAATAAACTGTCTGTGAAATGCTTGATTCCTTCTTCACGCTCATCTGGTCCCCTGTCAACAAGTCATAAAGTCATACTGCTCCTTCACCTGGGACCAGGCATCTTAGACTGCCACCGTCAGCAGGGGGCAGACCACCCCACCCGGTGTTTAAACATGCACGCAGGGTCAGGCACTCACGCGTCATTGCTCCTCTGTATCTCCTCCCACCCGCTTCTGCCTTCCTGCTGGTGTTGATGGAACCACAAAGATGAGGAGAGAATGGTGGTCGGGAATGACGTCTCCTCCTCTTCGCACTCCGGGAACTTTTATCCTTCCCTCCTGCCTACCATCCCACCGCTGTCCGCCTGAGGAAGACGGGAGCCGCAGTGAGAGTGTAACTTCTCCTCCACCCCCAGCCGTGGTTGCCTGGACAGGAGTTCGACAGCTCACGGTACTTTTTGAGAATGGAACTGGCCCATAGATTATGAAGGTCAAGCGTTGTTAGTAACCTGTGCAACTTAGTGCACACCAGAGAAGCAGAGAAAGTCTGTTTAGGAGGGAGAGAGAGTGAGGGGTGAGAATGAGAATGAGAAAGAGCGGAACAGTTACTGTAGTGGGGGAAGGGGGAGAGGAAGTCCCCATGGCACGTCCTTGTTTCCAAGCTGTCACTGATGCCCAGCTGCATTCCTGTCCTTGTCCTCTAGGGACTGCCAGGTACTTTTAGATTAGTTTCCCCCTTTTACTTAAACTGGGTGAAATTTCTATTTCTAAGAACATTTCCCATTCATTTAAATACACATATACGCACACACACAAATTTAAATACACATATACACCCATGCGCAAATGAGATCATCTTACTACATGAATATCAAAGCGTAACTCTTCCAGTGTTAAATTCTTAAAAACTAGGATGGGAGCAATGACTTGATCTACAAAGTTATTAATATAAATGAACAACTGGAATTAAAAAATGCCTACGTCATACTTGGTACTGTATTTTAGAAGAGACTTTTAATAGTGAAGGACGCTAAGAGTGGGGAGTCCTCCCTGTGCCAGGCCAGTCTCTCCTGGACCATGAGCCTGTGCGCGGAGACTGTGCGCGGCTGCCCTGCACATCCCGGCTGGACTTCATTGCTTTGGACAGTGAGGTGATGGGTAGGAGTCACCTTTGGCCTCTGGCCCTACACAGATATTTCAAGAGGAAATGAAAAATACCTTGTCCTTCATTGGCAAGTGGAGTTATGTTTTGGGGGCACAAAAGACTAAAAGTTCAAGGTTTGTAAAAATGGATGCTGAATGAGTTTAATATACCATAGCAACATCTGATTCATCTAGCCTTATTCATGGAGAACTCTGCCAAGTAACTAAAAAAGGTAACTACCAGGCTGACGGATGGATTTTTAAAATGCCATGTGGTACCTGCATCGGATTCATATCCTCCCTCCCCCACCCTGGAATTTAAACTTCCTGGATGGCACACACAGATACATCACCTTTTCCCCAGCAGCCCTGTAAAAGGCATCTTGGTCAGCAAGGTACTTGGATTTTAGTTTTAAAAGGTTTTTTTGGGTATCTCGCATTGAGTGTTCACTTCCATAAAGACACTAGCTGTATCGATGTATCTACTTTACAACTTTTTTTTTTTAAAGAAATGTTTTATTCAGGCACTGTGGCAGTCTTCATAAACACACACATATTTAAAGTTAGAGGACAGTTATGTCAAACATCTTTTCAATTTAGTGGCAAATGTCTGGCACCATGATGTTTTAATACTCATTCAATCTTATCGTAGTTTAAGAAAAGGCTGAAGCTATTGCCCAGTGGGAAAGCTGCATCATGTTGTTAGTAGAGCTCTACAAACAGGATTTATCCATTGCCACAAGCCCCAAGTGTGACCAGTGTGTTCTCCAACATGGATATGTCAGCACCGCTCCACGGGGGAGACCTCTGTGTAAGGGGCCCCTCAGGTGGGATCCGCACCCCCCGGTCCCGCCTGGGCTGGCACACGCCTTGTTTTTTCTCTGTACCCAGCTCACCTGCGATGGTGGCTGCGTGTGGCAGAACAAGCATGAAGGGAAGGGAAGGGCCTGGGGAACGAGGAGAAATGGGCCAAGCACAGCTTTCTGCCCATTGTGTTTGTTAATTCATCCTGTAAACATTTATTGAAACTACAGCATGCTAGGCATTGCTCCAGTCTCTGAGCAGGAGCCATGGGAAGACAAAACACACCTAAGTTCTGCTGTCGTTGGTAAAGCTTCTAACCCCGTGGCAGGTTCAAGTCTGTGGAGTGAGTGGATGCCTAGATGCGGGAAGTGACAGCAGGGGTGACAGCTGGGGGCAGCTGCGGCTCCCTACTTTGTGTAACTGTCAAGGCTGCCTTAACCCCAATCACCGTCCTAATTTGGGGATTCCACTCTCCCTGCGCGGCATTGTAGCCCATGTGTACCAGAGAGCTGACTCTTTTATTTAAAATATGAATTTCAGGTGCCCTGAGGGAGGGAAAAGGCCGAGGGTGTTTGGGTGGGCTGGCTGTCCGCATTACCTTTGAGCAGCTCAGTTAAAACCTCTCCAAGAGAACCGCCAGGTGGCACCTGTAAGGCGCATATGGGGACACTCATTTACCCCACACCCTGCAGCCGGGAATAACCAGGCTGCGTGCCTTCCTCTGTGCGCTGCTTGCGAGGAAGTGGGGGAGTTGTAGCCTCCGTTCAGACTACGATTACGTACCCCGTTTTCCTGACACTCTAAACACGCAGAGTGTAGATTTGTCCCCACGCAGCCGGGCTGCCAAAGGAGCACACGCTCGTTGAGATTGGCTCGGCCTCGGTCATCAGCCACAACGTAGGGATGGCAGGGGGTGGCCGTGGGCTGCGCTGAGCTGATGCCCTGGTCTTCCACGCCAGACCTCTAGGCGGGCAGCGGCGGAGGGCGGGTGGCAAGAGAGACAGGTCCCAGGGTGGTGGCAGGCCGAAGACCGAGGAGCGGGGGACACCGCTTTTCACCTCCCCCAAACCCCTTCCCCGGGTCTGGGCGGACGCTGCGAGCGCCCCCCTCCTGCGGTTTCGCCTGCCCCGGCCGCAGAGTGGCGGCTCCGGGTCACCCCTCATCACCGCCCCGCAGCGGGGCTCTCACAGCCCAGGCTGGGCGACCGTCCCCGCGCGCAGTGGGGCCCAGCAGAGGGTCGGGGCGGGGGGTGTCAGCACACGGAGCAAACGTGTTTTGGTCATTTGGGGCCAGGCGGCCCGGGCGCCAACTCCACTCCATCAGCAGCGGGGAGCGATCTGCGCCAGTTGCGCGACTGCCGCTGCCGCCGCTGCTTCTGTTCGGCCGCTGGTGACATTGGGAGGAGACCGCTAGGAACGTGCATAGGAGGAAGGGGAGCAGGGAGGGTGGGAGTGGGGGGGGGGCGGGAGAAAGTAGCAATTGTGCCAGGGGGCGTGTGAACAGTCGGAGAGGCAGCCGCGCTGGTGACAACTTCTCCGGGGCGCGCGCGGCGGGGCGGGCGGGGAGCGAGCGGAGAGCGCGGCGCGAGCGGGAGCCCCAGGGAGCGGCGGGAGCCTCAGGGAGCCGCGGCCCGCGCCCTGCGCCGCCGCCGCCGTCGCCGCTCGCAGCCTCCGGCTTCACAGCCCGGGGCGCCTGGCTCCGGTCTATAAATAGCAGGTCACGGCTCTGCTCCGCGCGCACACGCTCTGCGCGAACGCCCGAAACTCAGGCTCAAAGTGTCTTCTGCTGCCGCTGCTGCCGCCCCCCACTCCACCTCCGGGAGAGGTAATTAACCCGCCTGGGATCCGAGGGCTCGCCGGGGCTTTGCAGGGCGCGGTGGGTGACGGTGGGTGATCCGGGAGGCGCTGGAGCGGGGCTGCGAGCGCGGGGGCACGTCCTGGCGTGGGGAGCCTGTCTGTTTTGCATCAAGTTTCTCAGTCTTGCAGCCCCAATATCCCCTCCAGCCCGGCCGCCTAAGGAAAGGGTAGGGGGGAGCTGTGTCTCCTGTTGGCTGGGGCACCACTGTGGCTGCGCCGACCCTCTCTCCGAGCTCCCCTCGGCCGGGCCAGCGCGCGTGGTCACTCTTACCCACTCACGCTCCCTGGGCCCCGCTAACTCCGGGCTCTGGCCCACTGACCTTCCAAGGCTGCGCCCACCTGTGCGGTCCCTTTGGAGCACCTGCGGTGGCCCCAGGGCTCGCTCTCAACCCAGACCGAGCTGCAGAGCTGCCGCCGCCCTCCCCCTGCCCTCAGGCCTCGCCTCGTCGTTAAGGGGAAGGTCGGGGGTGGGGGTGGGGATGGGAGTCACTGGTACTGAGGTCTCACTTGCCCCAAGTCCTGGGTTTTCCTAAAGAGCCCCTCTCCGTGACCACCCTACCCCCACCCCCAGCAACTCATTCCAGCGTAGGAGCCAGGCACGTCTGCTCTTGGCCACCAAGCATCACTTCTCCTACCTGAAAGAGGTCTCACTAAAGGGTTGGAAATCGACGGCCTTGGAGTGTGGCCGCAGAGGGGAGTGGAGGGGAGATCGTTGTTTGTAGTCTGCAAACTGCGCTGGCAGCTCCGCCAGCTCCCCGGGCAGCTCTGGCTGGAGGGCCCAGGCCCCGGGGGGTCTAGGAGCCCGGGGCTGGCTCCTGCGCGGACTTTCAGGCTAGTAGCTGGGACTCAGACCTGTTTTTGCCCCTCCCTACACCTCTGAAATCGCTTCCTTTTGGGTGGTGCTTTGGGCCACCACCCCCAACCCCCACCCTCCCGTGGAGAAGGACCCGCAGCTTCTTCTGTCTGGGCGCAAGAGGTTTCAGAAGAGCGAGGATGTGCGTATCGATTGGGTTTCTGCTGCTGCTGCAAAACTTACTGGAAAAATCTGGGAGGGTTTTCTTTTACTCTTGGTTTAATGATGCAGATTCTCTCCCTTGCCTCTGTTTTTTCTTTAGGCGAACAGGTTTCCTCCCTCTTACTGAGATGTTGTTTGAGGTCATTAGGTTTTACGACTCCAGGTGTTGCATTCTGCATATCTCCTTTCTCTCAGCGTGGCAGGACTGGTTTAAAAAGGCATGGCCCCACAGAATGAGTAAAAGCCTAGAAGACAGCATGAGTTGGTCTTCTTCCCCTCAAGATGGACACCAGGTAGCCCTTCTATAGGTGTCCAGCTCCATTTCAAAGGCCTTGCTAGGAAGAGGAGTTTTCCTAATGGGTTCTGGACCAGAACTAGTAGTAACCTGACCTAATGCTAAAGCGGGATAATAAGGGGCAAGGAATCGCCAACAGGGCTGCTGGTTGGTGGTGTGCAAGAAGTTGAATAAAAAGAGAACGGGGCAAGTGGGCGGGCATTGGCTCACTTAGTAGACAAAGAAATGCATTCTCTTCTGTTCCTTTGCCACACACGCCCGGAAAGCATTGCCGTGAAGTCAGAATGCATGTTCGGTGGCTTTGGGATAATAACTACATGGCCGTTAAAAGCTGAACTGCTTGGATCTGTAGGAATCCAAAATGCTGCTGCAATGGAATGCTTTTTCAGTGTGTTTCTTTAACATGCAATCTAGAAGATTGTCCTTGAAAGGTTACGAAATGTGCATGGGAAGACAGCCTTGATGCCCAGTGTCATTAGGGAACATGTGCTGATGGAAATGCTGCTCTTAGTCTAGAAGAACAGTCTCGTTCTCTTTGATTAGCCAAGCCACCGTATACATGTGTGATAAACTAATGACCGGTTAGGACGTACATATTTACAACTGCACTTTGCTTTTGATCCTTCGATAAAGTGTAAGAAACCCCAGATAGAGGAAGTTTCGTCTAGTTCCCGCAGCCGCTGTTTAAAAAGCACAGGGCAAAGTTTTAGGCAGAAAATACTTTCAAAATGTTGGGTTTGAACTTCACTTTGGGGATGCAAATTGACTGAATGATTTCATTTCTCATAAGATTTTTGGCAAAAATATTCATAATATAGTCTCATTTGTTTAAATTTGATTATAAAATAATGATATTATATTTTAATTGTGTGAAATAAAAAATCATTAAGTTTAGGGAAAAGCCAGACATTTATTCTAAATTGTACAAATTGAAAGTAATTCATTTTTCTTCTGAAACCTGGGAGTTTCTTCTAGTACAAGTAATAGAAATGCCCACATGGATGACAGTTAACTTTCTCTACTCTGAGGCAAGACCCCAGAGGGCAATGCTCCTAAAGGCAGAGAGAAAACTGCAAACTGATCTATCTCTTAGCAACCGAATGGATGTCAGTTTCCAGGTAAGTACCTGACATCTGGGAATACAAAGTTAAAAAAGAAATTGCAAAATCATTATTAGCAAATAAAGTGCTTACTAAATATCTATTATCTTTTCTTATTACACAGTGCACAATCCCCAGCCAGTACTAATGTTGCATATACAAGTATTATACTTTTTGTAATCTGCATGGAAAAAATTCTTGTCTTTCATAACCATGGGGTTATTAATAGATAGAAATGTACTGCTTTAAATAATCTCAAGTTAAATGTTAATGTTCCGTTGAAAGCTGTATTTATTTGTCTCTTCTGTATTCTGTACTTAATTTTTCAGCCGCCCTGGACAATCTGCTTTATAGGTCCTATTGTTACTACTTTTTAATGTTGAGTTTGAAACCCATTATTATAGAGCGTCTTAGGCCATACTAATAAATACACATACTTTTATATTTAGGCTTAAGAAAGGAGGTTATTAGACAAGTGATTTCAGTTTAAACATTTATTCTTAAATAAATCCATTTTTGTGTGCAAGAGGAATATAGCTTTTGCTTTCCAAAACTTTTAAATGAGGTATGTACCCAGAAGCACATGAAGATATGTAAGAAAATTTTAAGGAATCTTCTGAGTCTCAGGTAGAATTTTCATTTGAATCAAGACCCGTTCATTCATTTATACACTTTTCCTACTGTGTAGATTAATGGGAGCACTTTAAAAATTCTGGTGGAATTTTATTATTATAGCTATATTGCATATATATCTAAAACCTGCAGTGGGATTTTGTTCTATGTAAGGCACAGCTGTAATCACTATCTATCTTATTTGCTGGAACTATCTTGTTTTAGATGGCAGGCCATAAGGCCAAGGAAATGTTGAGGAGTGGCAACTTCAAATGTTTTTCACAGTTGACTTTGTAATTTGACCAAATGTTGAGCTATCATCATAGATGTAATCCCAACATAGGGTGAAGTGTTGCATTTCAATATAACATGTGTTTGTGAATGTTTTCCAAATTGAGGTTCTTAAACTGCAATACTCTTAAGTTTTGTCTTCTGAATTGGGCAGCCGTAACAACTGAGTGTCCTAATTGTGTGGTGGAGGCTTTAAAATAGCTGTAAGCAGAACTAAGTGAAATAGACTTGGCAGTAGTCATTTGGTTAAGCTGATTAAAGGGAATCTTGAGAAGTTTTCTAGATCATGTGACTTTGATCTGAGATTCCTGTGGGAATTATCTAAATTAATGAATTCAAGGGGATGGAGGCAGCACTTCCCTCAAAGGAGAAACAAACCCAACAAACCAACCTACTTCCCCACCCCCTCTCCCTCTCTCCCTTCCTCCCCTCCCTTCCTCCTTTCCATACATTAGTCTATCATCTATTTATCTATTTTTAACTTGCCTTTCTGGTTATTAAAATGAAACACTGCAACAGGACTAATGTTGAAATTACTGAACAATGTTCTCTATTACCCCCATTTCTAAGGATGGAAAAGTTTGTGGGGGGTACAAGCAGCCTTACTGGAGTACCTACAAAAATGAAAAGTATCCAAGATCAATATAAAAATATCATTATTAAAATTTTTATATATGAGTTATTTTTAGTATATCATTTATAAATTTTAGGTACTTTAAAAGGAGAACCTGAGATTTGTATATTTCTCAAAAGGGAGTGTGATTTTTAAAAAGTTATGCAACAGTGTTTTAAATGGAATCCTTTTAATACTTTTCACTATGAAAGACTTAATCGACATACATATGATTCTTTCATCTCTCACCTTAGTTCTTAAAATATGTAGTTATCATATATAAGTAGACCAAGCTGCGTACAATGACGCACATAAAATGTGCTCCCTAACCCACAGCAAAATCAATCCTTTCCTTAATCCACTCGTTCAAATGGGACTCACTCCATTTTCATGGGGATTTACTTTTCTAAAAGCCAAAAGATCAGAGATGAGCTCTAGCGATTAGCACAACCCAAACACAAAAATTATACACTGCTGGGAAAATAAAGTAAAACTAAAACCAGTGGCATCTTAAATTGAAATTATAACCTGTAGGTGAGGGGAAATTATAGCTATGTCCTTAAGATTGAAAAGTGTCATTAGTGATTATTTACTATCCTCTTTGACATCTTCAATATGCCAAACTTGCTAGAGACCCACATATTCCACTTAGAGCACTGGCATACGTCACAAGCCTAATAGAATATGTTGTATACTTGATGCCCAGTATTAAAAGTCACCCTTTAAACATTTATTTATTTCTATTGGCCTTCTTATATTGAAGCAATTACAGATAAATATGTTTCTGATCTGTTTTTCTGGATAACTTGCTTTGAAATAGAGGATTCCTACTATTGGGAAGATGGCCATTTTGCATTTGGACTGAGAGATGTTTCGCACTAGGTGGCAGTGTGCAATGCTTAGTAGCCTTGGGTCATTTTAATTGCGATATAGTCATCATTAAAGCTGTTCACTTAAACACAATTTATATATAAGTGAGTTAGTGAAATTAAAATCAACAGGCAACTAAATCCTTAGCAGCATATTTATAAGAGCTTGTTCA